ATCTGAACAAGAAGAATCTTATTTTTAAATAGGAGCCTGCGAGTTACTCAGGACCAACTAATTAATAACACTTTAGGCTGTAACTCAGAGTATAAAGACTATAATGACTATAATAATTATAATAGCACACAACTTTATAACTTAACTAAACCATGTAATAAAAAAATATTTAACCAAGAATTTATTAATAAAATAATCGATAAAGGACCTGCCAAACAAGTAAATAATTACTCTGCCACAAATAAACTAATTTGGATAAAAGAAAGTAAACTAATACTACTATGAGATAAAGGACCTAAAGCTTTATACTTTTATGCACAAATAAATGGAATACCTTTTGAAATAAAACTAGATGAAGGATCAACAAACACAACAATGGGAATAATACACTTCAATAAACTAAAACAACAAACCAATCTAGTATACAAAAACAATCCTGCAATAGCAAAAATAGTAGGATCACAAGTAAAATTACTTGGAAAAGCAATCGTAGATATAAAAATAAACGACCACCTCTTCAAAAATATAAAAATAGACATTTTTAGTAAAGACTTCGAATACATAATGCTCTCAAATAAATTACAAAAGCAACTTGAAATATTAAAAGACAATACAACGGATCAAATCCTTATTCACAGGAAACCCATACTCAACCAAAGAAAACTAACTTCAGGAAATAGTTTGTACCTAACAGCCCACTCAAGCGAAGTAACTTCCGATAGACAGAATATGCTGACACCTTCGGTTCGCAACATGCAACTGTCAACACCAGCCCACCATACAGAAGAAACCTCCAAATTTGAGGATATGCTGAGTACAAACTGGCCAGCCTGTCTTTTTCCCTCCAAGCTGAGCAAATTAAAGGGAAAAAAGTGAAAAGAAACCAAAGCGCTCAATACAAAAAATATCTGTCCAAACCAACCCCTTACTGTCAAGAATAAAAGAGACCAAGGTGCAACAAATCTTATGAAAATAAAAGGAACCAAAAAACCTACAATCTCCAATAAAGAATTAAATTCTTTCACTATCCAACCTAAACAAAATAAATTAGCTTCTGAAAACAACTTATATAATATATTCTTACAACAATGTAGATTAAATCTGAAAGAAGAAAGTATATAGGCGTAACCTGTGACGGCAATGCTGAGCAAATAGTGCAATCAGTAATAACAACTGGAAGTAATATAATACAGACATTCATGACATATATATCAATAAAACAATCATATTCTGATGAAAATATGAGAAACTTTATAATTTTAAAAGAAGGCAAACTTAACCTAACAAATGATTACAAACTAATCAAATTACTCGAAGAATATGAAAATGATGTACCAGAATTAAAAATAGTAATACATGCCTCAATAGGATTATCAATAAATGATAAATTCCAATATGATGGAAAAGTAAACTAAAAAATAACCAGAATAATAGAAAAAATAAAGCGTGCAAAACAAATAGGAAGTAAAGTATATGTATTACATGTAGGCGTATCAAATACAGAAAAAGATACATGAGAAAAATTATAAATAAAACTAAACCTCAAAGAAATACTAAAGAAAACACAAGAAACCAAAATGATGATTTTATTAGAAAACTCTGCATCAAATAAATGCTATGAACCCAATATGGAAGAGCTCATATCAATAAAGAAAACTATTAAAAAAGAATTATAACACTTCGAAGATGAAAAAGGAAATAAGGTACCAAGAATAAAGTTGTGCTTTGACACACAACACTATTTTGCTGCTAGAGCTGGCAGATTTATAGAAGACTATAAAGAAGTCTTAGACAAATACAGAAAAGAAATCTATTTAATACATATAAACAATGTAATGAAAGAAAAAAGATTTCAAAATATACAGAGTGCGTGGACAATAATAAAACCTACTATATTTGGCTTAGGCCAAGACATACATGCTCACTACTGAATGGACAATTACCTCAAGAAATATTTGAAATGATAATGAAACACCCTGCTACTAAAGCAGCTATATTAGAAACATCCGGAAAGACAAATAAACAAAAAAATGAACAGATATCAGAAGTATATATCCTTAGAAAATACGCTGGTGATCTTATAGCAGAAGACAAAGAATTATATGCATCAATCGAAGAACGAGTAGATGCAATGCTACAAGATTTCACATCAAAAAATCTACTACCAGATATAGAAATAATCGATCTTACTAAACAAATGAATCGACTAACTATTTAAGATAAAGAACATTACCAAGACCCTAAAAAAAAAAAATCTCAAAAAAGAATCAGAGAACAAAAACAAGAAAGAACACTACAATAATGAACGAATTCTTAAAC